TCTCATATTTCCTGAGTTTGCTCAGGATGATATTATGGGGGATTGTGTCAAGTGCCTTGCTAAGGTCAAGGTAGACTACATCAGTGGTCTCCTTGCATCCACCCATTCAGTCACCACATCATAGAATGCTATCAGATTGGTCAAGCATGATTTCCCCTTGGTAAATCCATGCTGACTAGTCCTGAGAACCTTCTTCTCTGAACTTTCTAATTTTGAACAGAAGTTGAGAAATCTTCTCTTCCTTGACATTCCTCTGTCAGACTGATTACTTACATGATTTAGCTTCCATATGTTTCTACAACAACCAGCTTAGACATTAGGAAACTGTGAGGTGGCCTGATGCTCTGCCAAGAACTCAGAATGACTTTGGGTTTACAGAGCACCATATATAACATCTTTGCATAACGAGCTGGCTAGGTTTAACCCTGTCCTGTTCATACAAATATTTTCAGTATTGTTTTATTAAAGAACCAGAGAGATTATTTGAAAGTGGGTATTTAACTATGTACTTTCTTTCAAAATACCTTATACATTTTATTTCTTCTGGAAAAAGGCCCATTTATCCACAGACTGCATAAAAGCTGTACTCAGATCCAAAGGCCCATGTACCCAAGTGCCTGTTTTTCATAGTGGCCAAAACCAGACACCTTGGTGGAGTAAAAGACTACAGCAAATGCATAGTGACTTGTTCGCCAGACAAGCTCCCAGTCACTAACACTTTGGAGCTCAGAGATTCATTGAACCAAAGGGAACGAAATGTGTATTATAAGCAGATCCTCACAAGGTTTGACAAACATGTGCTACAGTTATGTTGGGCAATTTTATATCTGTAAGTTAAGGAAAATATAGGTATATACGTTTCCTCCCCTTAAAAAAATAATCTTTTGACTCCTCAGCCACCAGACTGTTTGATGCCTGAATTTTTTTAAGTCAGAAAATACCTGGGCACCAAACTTCAAAACTGCAATCCTAAAAATCTCTGTCTCATTGCCAGTTCCAGAGGCATTAATTACTGTTGGCAGTTTAGGTTTTTAGAACCTGAAAGTTGAGCTATTGTGATCTGCAGAACTCAAAATTCCTTGAGCCAGAAAGAGATAGCATGTTAATCAACAGCAACCCACTTGCTATCTCCAATTGTCTGTTCTCTATTTAGACACTCCATGTCACCATGCTGCTGCATACAGGAGAATTAATTAGACCAGTAAGGAGGAGGAGAGATCACACAAAACCAAGCATAAATCTCTAGCACAGTAGGGAATTTTTCTAAATATAGAGAGGCCTAGGTTCCAGTTTTAGCTTGAGGGATTTTCCACATGTTTTGCATAAAGCTATCCCTGGAGCCAAGGATGGAATTCAGAATTCTATCTTGTCAGGTGAGCAATATAGCTGCAGACCTGGGGAACTGTCCTCCTTCTCCCTGTGGTGCAAACAACGCTTTCTGTGAGGTTGAGTACTTAGCAATAGTAGGAATATAGAGTGTTCAGACTTCAGAAAATCTTCTAGCTCTCACTGAGATTTTGGGGTCTGCATTCTCTGAGGAAGATGTCTGATTTGATCTGAACAGGATGGATCTATGGGTCAAAGCCAACTGTATGAGGTTCAACAAGGTCAAGTACCAGCTCCTGCACTTGGGCCAAAACAACCCCAGGCAATGCTACAGGCTTGTGGGAGAGTGGCTGGAAAGCTGCCTGGAAGAAAAGGGCCTGAAGTTGTTGCTTGACAGCCAGCTGAGTACGAGTCAACAGCGTGTCCTGGTGACCAAAAAGGCCAAGAGCCTGGCTAGTATCAGAAACAGTGTGGCCAGCAAGACTAGGGGAGTGATCATTCCCCTGTACTTGCCACTGGTGAGGCCTCACCTTGAATACTGTGTCCAGGTTTGGGCCCCTCACTACAAGAAACACATTGAGGTGCTGGAGCTTGTCCAAATGTGCAAACTACTAAGCTGGTGAAGGGTCTAGGCTGCAAGTCTTATAAAAAGTGGTTGAGGGACCTAGGGCTGTTTAGCCTGGAGAAAAGGAGGCTCAGGGGAGACCTTATGAGCCTCTACAGCTACCTGAAAGGAGACTGTAGCAAGGGTGAGGGTCAGTCTCTTCTCCCAAGTAACAGGACAAGAGGAAATGGCCTTGGATGGCACTAGGGAAGGTTTAGATTGGAGATTAGGAAGAATTTCTCTACTAAAAGGGTTGTCAAGTATTGGAACAGGCAGCCAAGTGAAGTGGTTGAGCCACCATCCCTGGAAGTATTTATGTCCCTGGTGAGTGGAGGAGGCATACAATGATGCAATTATTAGGCTCAATTATGTATGGCACAGATTCTGTATGTACCTGATTGCATATATCCTATAACCATTGGATTACTGATTAGTGACTGAAATTGGATCTCAAATTCAGTTTCCTACTTGATCACATTTGCTTTACAATCTTGGACAAGTTCAAAGTGGTCTGACTCTTCAAGGGCACATATTCAAGCATATTTGGTGTGTGGATGATATGTTAGTCTATGATTCTCTTAATATTTCAGCAGCTTGAGTGGAAACCAATAGGAGAGCAGCATCTAATACATGCAGAGACTTTGCAGAGACTTCAAGAACATCAGTGTGGAATTTATCTGCATTTTAGGATCCTAAATGTCTTAGAAAATTTATATGTTTAATAAGGCACTGTGTCTACTATTCGCCACTGATCATATATGGGGAAAAGTCTGGCAGCCCTTGGGTAGCTCTCCTGATATTTTGCTTCCAAAATGATTAAATGAGGCACCAGTTGTACGCTGTCTGAGTGCATTTCAGCTATCCATCTGTACATGATGGCAACAGTCCACCTAACCACACAGGTAAAGACAGATATTAAAGTCTGAGATGTGTAGATAGTGCTAATGTCGGGGACCACAAAAGCAGGGCAAGTCAGAAGGTGAGAATCCGACAGAAATGTGTGCCTGTGTGCCTTGCAGATCTCACCCTTGGATTTTAAGCAGAATCACTGACCACATGGCAAGGAAATTTCTCTTAAAAAGGACTGTAGGAGAACTTCCAAGCCTGCAATAGTTAGGTCTTGCTCACATGGAGCCACAGCAGGAAGTTAAGGCAAATTGTCTAGAGATGTGAGCTCATCACACATGCATTAAAATCCTATGTAGAGGGAAGAAGTGAGCTTATCATCAAGCAGCTTAATAGTCCTCTGCTGACTCCATTAGCAACAATATTTCGTTTTCAAAAGAGACTTAAACCAAGTGACATACAGCTATTTTACACTAGAAAATGAGCCTCCACTTGGATTTTAAAGCTCTTTGAAGTGTGAGTGTTTGGATCACACCACTGGCTGATTTGTCTTAACTTTCCTCAGCCTCCCTGCACAGAGAAGTATTTGCAAATAAAGTCCCTGTTTTTTCAGTGCAATCTGAAGTTTTCTTGGTGCAATCTCAGTATTAGAAACTATTGTACCACTCAGTTTTACTACCCGTTTTCATTTGCTTTCAGTAGACAGCTCATTTAAGAAGTCATTTTCTGGTCCACAAACTTCAAAATGAAATTGTTTCAATTTACATGATGATAGAACAATTGGTTTATGTTTTTTTCAGAATATTGCATCAATCAATTAGAAATAATCCATGAATGTAAACAGGATTTGCAGTTTTCATCTTGGAACATCAATGGGACTAAAACCTTTATTTATTTCATGCAATTTATTAATGGAATCCCCATGCTATTAATTTGTTTTTTTCCTTTATCAGTTCTAGCGATATTTGGAATTTATCTAATGAAAAATAATGAAAAGTTAAAAAAGTAATTAGAAATTACTCAATCGTTTTCATACCAATCTGTTTGATCAGCTCTGTGTTTCTTTACTCATATTCATGAGGAGTGAAAGAAAAGTTCCATCTTGTAAAGTGTTTTTACTAATTTCATTATCTGATAACACTTGAAGCACAGCAACCTATATGAAGTTTTCACGATATTCCTACTAAAAAAGAATAGACTAAATCCTTCAATACTATGCATTGATTCAACTGCTCATCATGTGCAATAAATTAATGTCATGCACTTGTTCTCAAGATAGAAAAATAAGATGTATGGGTATTTATGCTGATTATGGTTATGTTGGGGTTTGGGTTGTTTTAGGTTGGTTTGCTTGTTTGTTTGTTTTAACTGTACAGGTTTAAATTAGGAAGCTTACAAATATCTTTTCATTTAGGCTAAATGTTAATGTGTTCACTTTGCTTTTGTTTTTAGCAAGAACACCAGGACATCAGATACGCTTAATAAGCAGCAGCAAACACTGAGGATGCACATAGACATTCCCAGAGCACAGCTTCTGATTGAGGAGAGGGACACAATGGAGACCATTGGTAAACTTTTGCTGGGCTTGTTTCCACTGGTTAATGCAACAGGCACTTTAGGTGGACTTCGTTTACCCCACACTTTTTCCCCACTGCACACATCAAGAAAAAAAAAAAGAGCAACAAAGTAATTTGACGTGTTTGAAAACTGAACTGATTTTTTTTTTCTCCCCTTTGAATAATTTTCTACTTTAAGTGATCTCAGTACAGTATTTAAAATAATGCAGAACATTAAGAAAATGAATCTGGCAGAAAGAGACACTTGAAGAACATGTAAATGAAGACTGGCAGCTTTATGATTTTCATTTTGATTTCTCTTTTGGCTTTGACTAGACAGTTGCATTGCTGGCATTACTCATAAGGAATATGAAATTCTGAAACTATAATATCAGTATTTAAAGATTTGCAGCAGCCAAATTCTAAAACTTACATGTTGCACATTGTATCCACCTGTTCGCAGCAAATGGTATTTCAATATTTTGATCAGTTTTCAACTTTTGTGTATCTATGCAAAATTAAAATCTGAACTGTTTCACACAGCAGAGAACAAGATTATTCATGTGGCTGGCACACAGCTGAACTGTCATGAGAAATAGAATTGTTTGGTGTTGGGGTTTGTTTTCCAAATATTTTAAACACAAGATGTCAGAAATCTCAACAGCATAAAAATACAGCCTAATCTTTTGACTATATGGGAACACGCTGTGACAAGACCCTCCGGAATGACTGATCTTGTTAGACTTCTGACTTCTTTGGATCAAACTTTGTGTAGAAGACACCCGTGATGGCTGAGAATGTAACAGCACTCCAGGGGCAGTGTGCCTTCTCAGGCTGGGAGCACCATGTCTGCATTTCCTGTGCATGCCTGCACTGAGTAGGGACAAGCTGCCTTATCCCCACACCCTGTCACATTTGCTGTCGACCTGGCATGGGGGGTAGCCTCAGGCTACGTTTCAATTTGTGCTGCAGATTTGAAAACAAGACCTTCACATGAAATACAGACTTTTTTTTAAAATCCTGATTTGAGTTTCCAAAAGTTTGCCTCTGTGATGCATTTTTTTTGTGCCAGGCTTCATCCTGAAGACAGTTTTTACTCTTGAGTTACAGCTGCTGAGCAGTAGGAGGTTATAATGGAAGTACTATTAGTGCCTTAACTGTAGCAATGTGATCAGTACTTTGGTAATAGTCAGCTATCCACACAGCACTCAGAATAAGCCAGCGCTTTGGAAGTCTTTGACATAGTTTACTGCCAAGAGGCTTTATTTCCAACCTGAATAAGAGCTCATCTTTTGCCAGAGACAGAGTACTTTGATTCCATAATACTTATTCTATTTATGGCCTTCTTTGGGTAAAAAATGCTACTTAGGTTATTGTGCAGAACTGTTCTCCTTAATGGGGTCTTGTCAAGTTAAAAAAAAAAAAAAGGAAAAAATCCCAACAAAACAGTAATGCTTGGAAGAAGCGGATTAACCTCTGCTGACTAGTAAATGCACAGAAGCCAAACTGCTGCCAGTCTCTGCAAATATATTACAAAGCTATACAGCACAGTCTACCAGGAACTCCTTGTGGCTTTTATTGTTCCTATGGATAAAAAGATTGTAACAAATGCAAAAGAAAGTCCGATAGCAGGCAAATAGTTGTTCTGCAAGCACAAAGTCAGTGGAAGATTTAGTGATGTTAAAACTTCCATGACCAAGTGGACCAGATTGCTCTTTGGAACAAAAGCAATAAAATACAGAGATCACAACTGAGAGAAAGAAAGAAAGAAAAAAAAAAAAAAAAAATTCAGTATGGCACTAGCTTTCTGCAGGTTTGTGCAGAAATTTGATGAATATATCCTATCCCATAGGGAAGCAACAGGCAACAGAAGCATACAGTAGTAAAGGTCATCAGTCTCCTTCTTCTTCCATTCCTTCCCAAGTTCAGGCTTCATCTTGCACCTTTCTTTGGGTCTAGAGGAAAGCCCACAGTCAGCTGAACTATGTTGAGAGAAACTTACACAATTCATATAAAGCTCCCCAAAGCTGCTTTTTCAGACCTACAGTAGTGAGGTCTGTTGTAGAGAGAGCAGGTAGGACTTAGCCCTGAGCTTCCTGAACAACAAAACACTGGACTTAAGGATGCTTAGCAGCCCTGCAATTATATTTCCATTGTCTTCACTACAGTACTCAGGTGCTTACAAGCAGCTCCCCAGGAATGGTCTTGGGTCGTAACCATCACCTCTGCAATATTCTGTCTCTGGAAAGAAAACTGACTGGTAGAGTGTTAGTTAGCCACATTACCTAACAACCCTCTTTTGGGAAGATATGGGCAATTTCACCAAGGACATTACTAATTGTGTTAATAAAAAGAAATAAATTTAATATGTTGTTGAAAAGCTCAGCTGAGCTCTTTGAGAATGAAGAGGAAGAGGCCAGTATTCAAAAGATGGGAAAGAAGGAATTAGAGCCAAATTACACACAAACTAGCTTTCTGTAAGCATGCTTAATAGTCTGTCTCAGCTGCATATCTCTAAGGTGAAATCACAAACATGGACATGAAAATTACACTTATTCTCCAATCTTGTATGACCTTTCGGTTTGAATCCACAGGCACCCAAGCTGTAATACACAGCTTCAGTCCTGCAGAGGAGAGGGAGCTGCCACTGTCTGTGGTGGTGCCCAGCTTAAAATGTCTGAGGAGCTGCTGTAAACCTCTTACAAAGGCAAACCTAAATTTTGTTAATCATTATATGATGGTTTGTTTGTTTTTTTTTTTTTTACTTATAGATGACAGATCAACGGTACTCCTCACTGATGCTGACTTTGGAGAGACATCTAAGCAGAAGTCACTGACTGTCACCCACACAGTACATTACCAGTCTGTGTCACAAGCTACAGGACCACTGGTAGATGTTTCTGATGCCCGTCCAGGAACAAGTAAGCACATAAGAGAATATGTTATGTAGAGAGTAGAAAGCTGTAAGAAAATTAATGCTGTGATCTGGCATTTGCATCCTCATGGGGCTTCTTCTTCTGTCTGAAAGTTGAAAGAAAGATATTTAGGTCAGCGGAGAATATTTCTTATATAATTGCATTTAGTGATTCAATATGGTAAAAACTGGGTATGCTTCTGAAATGTAGGTATAATTTGAAATAATTCATACTTGACTCTTGTTAAAGCAAATGCATGCTAGGTTTTAATTTCTAGAATTTATTGTCTAAATTTACTCAATGGCTTTTAGTGTCTAATATGTTTTTTTTCTTGGTGATCAATCTTTATTGTATTTCAATATATATCTTCCCTCCTTACCTCTCCATCAGGCAAAAAATACATTTCTCATTATTGCTTTTCTGAACAAGTTGTATTTCCACTTTCAGTTACTAGATTTTTTTCCGGATATATTCATGTGGAGTTATTCCTAAAATAGTATCATGAATTAATATATTGTTGCAATCCAGTCTTCTTATTTATCTTGTGAATATGCTCCATATCTATGTAAATTGAAAACAATTACTAGATTGAATGAATACTTAGGGATATTACCAAAGTATAGTTCACTAGCAGTGTTCAATTTTTAAAATCTCTTGCATTATTTGTGTCCCCTGACTGTTTCAGAATTTGTTTATTTGGTGAGTTCAGTGAAGCTCTGTTTCTAGAACGTAGATTATTTGAAAAACTTTCATTTCATTTCCACCCCAGTCTTTATAAATGATAGTTGTTCTCGTCCTAACCTTTCTGCCTTTCTAATTCTGACATTTTTAAGACATGGTTAGTTATTTCTTGAGGACTAGATTAGCACCACCATTTTTCGTCTGTTGGGAGTCACGACATTTGAATTAGAAGAGTCAAGATATGACATTTGTTTCCTTTCTGCTGCCACTTTTGTCTCACTCCTTTATTTCATGTACATGCTAGCTAGCCTACTCACTAAAAGCAAAAATATCATACTATAATTTTTATTATGTTGACAGATCAAGATTGTCTGAGTGCATAATGGACTCTCCATTGTTTACCAACCCTGTCTTTTCTAATAAGGAAAGAGGCATCACCCCAAAGTTGCATGCCACAGCATGCTATAGCATCAGCATATTCTGTACTTAATCCTTTTTTTCATGTACAGTTATGTGTTTCATTCCCCTGAATTCAGGGAGAGATTTCCTTCAAATTAAACTTGGATTTAACTCATGTAAGAGTATTATCTATGTCCAGCCAAGTTTGGAAGTAGAAATCCACCATCACTTTTATTGCACAACAACGATCTGATTGCAGCACTGCACAAGGCTGGATCAAAGGCTCTTAGGTAGTGTTTTCTGGATTTAAGACACTAATATAGCTTTGATAGAGGCTGTGCTATGAGATTTTGTCTAGACCCACATCTTTCTCTGTGAAGAGGGGAGCAGTGCCCCATTTAGTGGCTTGAAGGTTATGAATCCTACCATCTGAGCACACTAACACCCACCGATTGGCAAATATTCCCTTACAGTACTTATAAAGTTGTTCTCTAGTTCTTTTGTATAATACATATAAAAGAGGGTATAATACTTACATAAAAGAGGTCTGCTGTGTGAGCCTTTGGCTTGCTCACCTCAGCTCTGTACAGCTATGTTTCAGCACATGACAACAGAGCTGGCTTAACAGCCAGGGCACCAGATGTGCACTGTTCTCCATCACACAGGCACCTCTGGAGCTTTCTGCACCTGTGCTGCAGAGTCCTTTATGTAGGCATAGCTCAGCTGGTGCAGAGCCACTGCTCAGCAGATGCTCAGCAGGATGAACACTGACCTCCTGCATGCTGGCAGCAGGCTCTTCCACCTCCTTCAAATGGCTGACAAAAGCCTGCTGAGTTATGGGATCAGAGAATAGTTGAGGTTGGAAGGCACGCCTGGGCACTCGCTGGTCCACCCCCACTGCTTAAAGCTAGGTCAGCCAGAGTTGGTTGCCCTAGGACCATACTCAGACGACTTTGAATATGTCCAAGTATGGAGACTCCACCTGCCTAGGAAAACTGCCAGTGCTCAGCCTCCTTCACAGTAAAGTGTTTCCTGATGTTCAGAAGGAAGCTCCCACCTATCACCTTGTGGCCATTGCGTCCGGTCCTGTCACTAGACACCACCAGAAAGAGCCTGACTCTGTCCTCTTTGCACCTTCCCTTCAGTTCTTTATATACCTTGATGAGATCCCCCTGATTCTTCTCTTCTACAAACCAAGCAGTCCCAGCACCATGCCAAGAGATTTCCCCCCAATACTCTCCTTCTGTCCTCCATGCCTTCTGTCGAAGCAGGCACAGGGTTCACTTCTGGCCACACAATAGTCACATGCAAACTTTCCCCAGCTGGGGCAAGTGGTGGTTTAGACTGACAGGTGGGTCATGTCATGCCAAGTGCATTTGTGAATGTTAGGCATGTGAGGCAGCTTTGTGCTGCACTACCAGGAGGATCAATTACCAATGGCACCATGTTCATATTTTTCCACTGCTCTAGGGGGAAGATGTGAAATAGGAGAAGGATCAGACCACAGCTGATATTTGTAAATAAATACCTTGTTTCTTTGAAGCAGCCGAATACAAATTCTTCCTGAGAATGCTTAGGCAGACAAAATGCTCAGAGTCATTATCTGGGTATTGTTTTTTTCTTTAAATTGCTTCTCCTAAAGTCTCTTACCTCAAAGACTGACAACTTTACCATTTGAATGTCAAAGAACATTTGAATAGATTAGAATTTTTCATTTCTAATACCTTTTCTCTCTATTGTTAGCAATATCCTTTCAGAAGCTTTGAAGAGAAATCCTTCAGTGCTGATTTAGTCACTTTGTATTTGCCACATAGTGATTTTTCTATTCCACTTACTTTGTGAGGAAGTACAAGCTTCACTTTTACAGAGTATTAACAAAATTAAGGAGGTCATTTTGGCAGATAGTTCACTTTTACTCTCTTCATTGCCTATTAATCTCTAGAATAATAAAAACTAAAACGTTAGTGACCTTAAACAAGTAGCAGATGATTTTTAAAGTTTAAGAAATGTATTTATCTAATAATGGTTTTTTTAAACAATCAAAACTTTATGAACCTATTCCTAGTGAAGCTCTGATGTCACTACTACAGGTTATGTTTTATGTCTTGGCTACTTGCTAAAAAATGGGGAAACTGTAGCTGGTTAATACCATAAGACAGTAAAATGTCCAGAATAGGAAATTATATCACCATATTTCTGAACACATTTTTACAAACTGAGAGCAAGTATCTGGTGTAGGGTGTTTCTGAAAGCACATCTATGCTGGTAACTTACACTTCTCTTGAGATACCGTGTGAAATCCCCACCCAGATCTACTTGCCTTGTGCTCTTTAGCATCTCAGAGTGGTTTCAGTAGTGGAGAACTACTTGTGCTGGAGTAAAGGGATAATGAATATGTCAACGGGAGATTGGAGGGGCTCTCAGCTCTTCAGCTGCATCCTTTTTAAAATGTATGGTTTCATTAGAAGGAGGATATTTCAAAGAAATTTAAGCAGTTTGGTAAAGAACACCAATTTCACAGTACATTTTTTTTCCCCACAAAGATGTTTTGGGGTGTTTTTTAAGCAACATGATTTCAGTGGCCGTCCTCTTCTGACAGAGCGTGTTTCCCTATCAATTCAAGAGCCTAGTGGCAAAGACTCTCTCTGTTATCCACTACAGATCCTACCACAAGGAGGAGTGCCAAAACCGGACCCACAGCTCGCAACCGCTATGCTAGTCAGTGGACCCTCAACAGACCTCACCCCACCATATCAGCTCATACCCTCACCACAGACTGGAGGCTGCCCACCCCCAGGCCAGCGGGATCAGTGGACAAGGAAAGCGACAGCTACAGCGTCAGCCCCTCACAGGACACAGGTACAGGTGGGGCTGAGCTGTGAAAATGGGACTGCAAGAGCTGCAGTAACCTTCTTGGTCCTTGATGTGCTTCATTAGGTGCTTAGGTGTCATTAATTTTTCTCTAGGTTATTTATAAGGGGTGGCACAAATGCAGAGTGCTAATGATAACAAACATTGTGCCCATGGTCCCTCATGCCACACATGCATACTGGAGTCCTTTGAAAGGTTATGGCGGTAATTTTTCCTGTAGCTGAAGTGCTGTAGTTCCTGTATCTGGAAGGAAAAGGTGGGAGAATTTGCTGCATGAAATGTCATTGACCAGGAAGGGGCAGTATTAGCAACTAAAAATATGCCTGAATAATAGGTGGAATGGTTCTAAGGTTTAAGCTACATTAAGGTTTGCATTTTCCTTTTCACATTCATGTAATATGTTCACAGGGTTTATTCTAATTAGAAATAAGGAGAGGAAAAAAATCTGAAATTAGAGTTCAAGTCAAAATCCATTCATATCACTGAATACTGCAGCAGCTACCTCTGATTTTCCTGAGAAACAGCATAGATTTTATTCCTCTGGATGACAAGTGGGGACACAATGAACACATATTCTGCCTGCAGTCTTCATGTCTTCTTGATATCTTGACATTATAAATGCAATTGTAACTGGAAAAAAAAAAAAAAACACAAAACAACTTTATATTCTGCCTTACACTGAACAAGCATCAGAAAAAGACAAATAAAGTAAATTATTAAACAATAAACTAGTAATGAAGTAAATATAATAAAGGTTAAATATAAAGAAAAATAAAGAAATATAAAGAAAATATAAAGAAAGATAAAATAATATTCAAAGGTATGCCTGACAGAAGCAAATCCATGATTTGGTCCTTGGAAGGAATTCCCTACCTTCTATCCTGAAAGCATTTGTCATGTCAAAAATCTATGGGCTAAAGATACAAAGCATTAGGTGTAATTGGCCTTTCACCATGAAAACCAGTATGATTGGTTTTATTCTCTTTATAAGAAGAAGCATTTGTCTTTCCTTATATCCATTAATCTATGGGTGGGAGTTTTCATCTTTTCACAGTGCATCCTCTTAAGCTTTTAGACCCCTGTGTTGACTCCACAGGGTAATGGCACTCAGTAGATACCTGTAGCCAGTTGACAAACTTCATCCTGATCTCTTCAGGTGGAATTATCATCTAGCTTTAGGAGTAACTCTAATGGCTGTACAGATACAAATATAAACAGCAAGTTTATCTCCAAAACTTTTTTTGTAGACATTCCATATATCAGCTGCTCTCGCATGTGTTCCAGCATTTTCTCACCTAAGGATAGTTTCTAATGCACATGGCAAAGGGCAGAGAATTCAATTTGCTGTGTGGTTTAATAAGCAAACTACACACCATTTTGTAAACAGACTTCATAATCTGTTTTAACATGGCTACTTTCCTACTCTGTGTCTACCCTTGAACACACAGGGATTTATGTAAGGGATAACAAGCTTTAGATCATGCTCAAGAAAGGTTTTCTCATGCCAAAATGTAGCTCTATTATGCCTCTCGGTTTCTGGGAATAGACTCAACTTAATCTAAGTACTTCAGAAATTTAACATTTCTAAATAAACATTATAATAGAGGTAGCCAAATTATTTGTTCAAGAACCAAGTGCACAATTGATCACTTTTCCAATATATGGATATCATATTTCTGAATTTAGTTGATGTAGTTGATATACAGCACTTCTTATCAAAACAATTCCAGGTTTACAAAGCAGGAGCTTTTAAGCTTAGGAGAAATGTATTGCAGCAATTCACAGCTGCAGCTAAGTTCAAATGTTCAGACTAGAAGTTGTTAGAAATTTTCTTATGAGTCTAAGTTTCATGAAGTTCACCATGGCCTTGGATGAACTTTCATCACATCTAAAGTAGGTATTCAAGTAGATTCTTTGTGGAATAGTCTCCCCAGGGTGTGGGATATGGGAAGCTTCAGGTCCTAACCTTTATGGGCCAAAGTGGGACCTTTGCATGATCATCATATTTACAGACACTGCTCTATGGCACTGGACAACTGTAGCCTTCCAGGAGTTTCCAGTTGATGAGAAATTTGGCAAGACATCATTTTGGTTTAAATTTCAACCAAATGTGAGAAACAGAACTATGTTTTTTGGGGGGGAGGGGAACACAACACACATCTCAAATTCTTAAGCAAGTTACAGCATACTGTAGAAGTACTTGTCATTTTATATAACATATGTTCTTATTTACAAGTAACAAGAGTGTTGTTCTTTGTGCTCAATGAAAACAGATGCAAGTATCCTAGTACAGAAAAAAAAAGATAAATATTGGCAATAACACCACGGTTGCCTCTGGCTGCTATAGAAGTCCATTTTTATAAATTAGCTATTTCATTGTGCCTGTTTATTGAACATCACCAGCAATGTCTGACATTGTACAGATCTTCTGATTAAACATGACTTCTGCCCAAGGAACTTTTGAAAGTCCTCTGCTCTTCCAGCCCACTGAAGTAGAAGTGTGATGGGTGCAAAAGACCAGAGATTTGTCCCCACAGAAACGTGTAATTCGTTTCCACAATACTTTTGTAGCCATTTACATCCTCAATAACAGCGCTTCTTTAAGAAATACTGATATTCTCAGGAAATCATTAGCAGAGAAGACCATCCTGTAGGTCACTATAGCCTGTGTGCCAAATATGAAGCCCCCATTAGCTTCAGGGGGATTGAAAAAAAGACATCTGAATGATTGCAGGCTGGTAGCCACCAAAAAACACAGCTTTTTTAAGACTTTTGTTCTGTATGAAACGAGTGTCTCAGTCAGAGAAAATGTCTGAGGTGCACTGCCTTTATATCTGACCTTCTCCTCAGGGCTATTCCAAAAAAAAAAAAAAAAAATAAAAAAAATATTAAAATAGATACAAAAAGACTATTCTTTCTCACCTAGACATCACCTAACAGAAATATTTCTGAGATGCATTAAAAAGGTAATGTAAAGAAGCTCTTCCTCTTTTTCGTAAATTTGTTTTATAGTTTTCTAACTTTTTTAAGGTAGTTGACTTTTAGAGAAATCACTTTATGAAAAACAAACAAACAAACAAACAAACAAAAAACACCAACCTTTTTCATGTATTAAAGGTTATTTCTTCTAAACCAAAAATGTAATGCTAAGCCAGATAACGCTGCTGGCAGAATAAGACTTCACTTTAGATTATCTGTAATTATCAAAGAACTGACAGAGCTAAAAATTGTGCAGACATTTATAGTGAAGCAGACTCATTTAAATCACCTTGATAATTTCAAGGGTTCTTCATTTTATGAAGAAATACTACCACGGTCATAGCTTTACTTCCAAAAAGGGCTGAGTGGATGCTTTATTCCTCCCATTATTTATACTTCTGATGTTTAGATCGAGCAAGAAGCAGCATGGTCTCCACAGAAAGTGCCTCCTCAACATACGAAGAGCTAGCAAGAGCATATGAGCACGCCAAAATGGAAGAGCAGCTGAGACATGCCAAGTTCACCATTACAGAATGCTTCATATCAGACACATCGTCGGAGCAGCTCACGGCAGGGACTAATGACTACACAGACAGTCTGACCTCAAGCACACCGTCAGAGTCGGGGATTTGCAGGTTTACTGCATCCCCCCCCAAACCTCAGGATGGAGGGCGAGTGATGAACATGGCAGTTCCAAAGGCACATCGGCCAGGTAAGACATTAAAGGTAACATTTCTGTCCTTGGGGTGAGCATTTCACCCCAAACCTAGGCTGGTTAAGAGTGCGCAAAGAAAGTGCACAATATAAGATCCTGTAACTCCTTACAGAAATAATTGCTTTTTGTTCCATCTAATGTAACATTTGAGTATATTCTTCCATATACAGAAAAACGAGGAACTTGGAAACTTAGGAACAAAAAGGGACAGTCTAGACCGTCAAATCCACTCCTTTATGGCTCCAGCCATCAGGCAATAGACCTTTCTGGGATAAATAAGACCATATGGAGTACATATGTCTGTCTCTAAGTGAAACCACCCACTAATAAAACATGTCTTACAGCAATACTTTCTGCTTGAGAGCAAAGGTTTACCATCAGAACAATTCATAAAGACAGATTGTAGAAGAGATGCTACCCCTTCTGCCTTGTAGCATCTTGTCAAGTTGTAATAAACCTTTGGTGATGTTTTTGAGCTGTTATACTCTCTCTTTGACATTTCCTAATATCAAATTAGGAATATCTAAGAAAGGGAGAGTAAAAATAAAATTGCAAAAATGAAGACAGTTCAATAACTCAAGAGATATGAAGCCTTCTACCTTCAGATAAATTTAAACCCACTTCAACTTCCTACTTCAGGTGCCTGAGGGATATCCATTTATTTGGCTCAGTCAAATTTCCACCTCACAAAGAGTGATGTTTCTGGTGATACCCCAGTACACAATCCCATAGGTAGCTATTTGTGGTACTCTGAGATCAAACACATTATAAAGTCTTTTCAGATTTGTCACTCTTTGTTACAGAATGTATGACGTGATATCATGGAGGAGGATTCAAATGGGGAAAAGGCAGAATTATATTTGTGTGCTTTTTGGAAATATGATATATTTTATTTTAGTATATACATTTGTCAGTGTAGTTTGGGCTACTTCTATATACAGAAAGTTAACAGTAGTGCTCATATATATATATAAAAAAAAGAGTAATAAATAAACTATGGTCTTTTGATTAATATACACCATAAGTGGAAAAGCAGTTATGAGGATAGAGAAATTGAAGCTAGACAGTGGTGTCAGGAAAGACATTCAAAAGCAGGACCTGGCACTGAAAAGAAAGCATAAAGGATTTTGGTAGAGAAATCTAAAAGAAGAACATGAGAAGACGACCAAGCAGAGGGTGGAAACTCACAATACACAAGGCAGGAAATTAGTGTATCATACAGATAGATGAGAGGGAAAATAAGTAGGAAATAGAACACTGAAAGACATTACTGATTTCTGAGTAGTCACAGAGTAGAACCACAAACCTAGGAGCTGTAAAAATAAAGATATAAATAATTTTCATTTCTAACTCAAAAAAAGTAAGATAAATATTTGTCCTTGCTCTGCTAAAGGGAAGAATCTGCATTCATAGCTAAGTCAAAATTGTAGCAGTCTCCTTCCAGTCACTCAACAAATATTTTCTAGAATTTATTTAACAAATAGCTTACTCCCTTTCATGTTCCAAATACTTTATTTATGCATATTTAGTATTTGGAAATGTTCTAATATATTCCATATAAATATTATTTTCTCGGGGCATATAGCAACAAAATTTGGTCCCTGTGTTTGAGTTTAAAGCTTCCAGGGTTGGAACACCAACAGAGTCCCTTTAGTGAATAACAGACTTATAGCCATCTTTACTTCTGGCTTTGATTTTTGCCTGCTTTTCTTGGTTAACTTCAACTTTCCTTTCCCATAAGAAAATGAAATACATTATGAAATTAAGAATTAATTTCAAAACTTTGGGGAAAAAAGTGTTCCAGTGGAGCAACTTGAATGTTGGCCCATAAATATTGAATGATACATTCTTAAAGGTTACTTTATGAAAGGATTGAAATGCAACGTATGGGTAGAAACTATTTTCAGTAGTATCAGGACCAGCATTTTCAGTGCTCAAATAGGTGAGGAAGGACTTACTGGGCATCTTCCTTCTTTAACCCACCACTTCAGAAACTCTGCAGAAGTGATTAATAATTCAAATACAATTAATCAAAGTAATTCTACATTTGGGAACATAGACAAGGAATTTTAAAGTTAAGGTATTTAGATTAAGTAGATGAGAATTTCGGAAATGAAACACTGACTGTGCTCCTTTAGTACTTATTTATTCTTCCTTGAAATCAGTCTTCTCTTTCAAGACAATTTTTACCTGTTTTCATGGTGCTTTGCTTTTTTTCTCCCCCAACTTGATCTCTTTCTTGTACAAGGTCATTTTCAACAACTTGGGCCTCCTCCTTCCTAACTTCTGATCTCACTTTTCAAACTGCCTGTAAAGCTACCTTTTGGAACTTTTATGATTGCATTAAAGGTTTAAAGCCTCCAGTAAGTAGTGTTTGTTCTTCAAAATAATCCCCAGCAATTATAAGCCAGTTTCAGAAGGACTATAACAAAAAGTTATTTTGATAAATGGGACATTTTGAAACTAATCTACCCAATGCCAAGGCTGTAACTTTACAGAAGAAAGATAACAGTGGATTTTACTGGTGAAGACTGTGTCAGCTATAACTGACTGAGCTATTACAGCCCCTCTTTCTTAGCTTGTTGCTACCATGTTCGATATGAGCAAGCAAAACTTTAGATCACCTGTGAGTTTCTGAGGGCATTCCAACTCACATCACTGATTGTTCCCTTGCTTTTCCTGAGTAGCCCACAGGATTCTTGTGTACCTGTGTAGTCAAGACTGCTGACCAAACCATCTGCTTTATTCCACAGGCAACAGCTGAGACCTTAGGTTGCTCCAAACTGACTTAGTTAATGATTAGGAGTAGGGAACTTGAACTCTTTTTTTGTTGGAGGAGGAAAAGGGGTGATCAAGATTCACTGACTTGTATTCTGGGACTGACATCAACTTGCTGTGATGTTCCCAACTTCCATATAATCTTCATTCAGAAACTTAATCAAAACATTTGATCACCTCATCAGCTTGAATTATATTTAGATTGCTCATCAGATGTCTAGGCAAGCTTAGTAACTGATCATTTCTAGCACTATAACTATGAATTAGGACTGTCTTTTCAGAACTTTTACACATTATGTACAACTTTAACTCTATAGCTAGCAATGCATAATAGTTGATTGCCCCAAGTTCTAGCCCATTGTAAGTCTTCTAATAAACCTTTTCCCTTCCAGTCAACTGATGCTGCAGATAACACACTCAGATCAGCAGTAAGAACTTCTTCTGACTTCTAGATATCTACACCTTCTTCTTGACATTTAGTTTATAAAAACAAGAATCAATTTCATTAAGTCAGCTCCAACATGGGAGCTAAAAATACATGCATTTTGCCATGAAACAATAATGATAATTCTATAAAGGAAAAATAGAGTAATCGTACCTAATGTCACAGTAAATAGTAAATAAGTATGCAAAGTGATTTTGGCTTACTGAATCTAAGACATTCACCAGGCCTTCAGAAAGATCTGGACATTTGACATGGTTATTCTTTAATAATTCGGAGTGCCAAATGTATTGTGTTGTAGTACACATCTTTACAGTTCAGCTGAAATCATTGCATAACAGACTCACTGAATGGTTGAGGTTAGAAAGGACCTCTGGAAGTCATCTGGTCTAGCCCCTCCTACTCAAGCAAGACTACTTATAGTAGGTTGTCCAGGACCATGTCCAGCTGGATTTTGAATATGTCCAAGGATATATGACCCACAACCTCTCTGTGTTCCAGTGCTTAGTCATCCTCACAGTAAAAAAATGTTTCCTGATGTTCAGACAGAGCCTCCTGTGTTTCAGTTTGTGCTCATTTCCTCTGATCCTGTCACTAGGCACCACTGAAAAGAGCCTGGCTCCATCTTTTTTACCCTTCCACTCAGGTATTTACACACATTAATGAGATCCCCCAGAGCCTTCTTTTCTCCAGACTGAACAGTTCCAGCCCTCTCAGCCTTTCCTCCTGAGAGAGATGCTCCAATCCCTTAACCTTTTTAGTGGCCCTTTCCTAGACCCTCTCGAGTAGCCCAATATCTCTCTTGTATTGGTGAGCCTAGAGCTGGACACACACCTCATGCGAATCAACGAGGGGAATTGCAACTCATTTCTCCTGCCTGGCCTGGTCCCTCTGGATGGCAGCACAATCCTCTGGTGTATCAGCTACTCCTCCTAGTTTCACATCATCAGTAAATTTGCTTGAGGATATGCTCTGCCCCACCATCCAGATAGTTAATGAACCTGTTGAACAGGATTTGACTCAGTGTTGACCCCTGGGGTTCATCACTAGTCACTGTCCTCCAACCAGACTCTGTTCCACTGATCACCATTCCCTAGACCAAGCACTCCAGACAGTTTTCAATCCACCTTGCTTCTCATCCAGTCCACAATTCATCAGCTTCTCCATGGGGATCTTATGAGTGACTATGTTGAAAGCCTTACTGAAGTTGAGATAGACAATATATACTGACTTCCACTTATCTACTAGGCCAGTCATTTAATCACAAAAGATTGTCAGGTTGGTCAAGCATGACTACTCCTGATCATTCTCTTGCTATTCATGTGCCTGGAAATGGTTTCCAGGTTTAGCTGCTCCATTACCTTCCAAGGGATACAGATGAGGTTGAGTGACCTGTAGGTTCCTGGGTCCTCCTTCATGCCCTAGGAGTGAAGATTTGCTTTCTTGCAGCCTTCAGGCACTTCTCCCAACCACCACAATCAATCAAAGATTACTGAGAGTGACCTCACAATAGCATCTGCTAGTTCCCTCAGCAATTCTAGTGGCATCCCATCAAAGCCCCTTGATTTACATATGTCCAGCTTGCTTAAATATTCCCTGACTTGGTGCTTGTCCACCACAAGTAAGTCTTCCTTGTTTCTTCCACTGATCTGTTGCACCTGGGATGCCTTAAGTTTGGTCTTGCTGGTAAAGCCTGAGGCAAATAAGGCATGTAGTACCTCAACCATTCCCATGTCCTGTGTCACTAAGTTCCCTTTTCCATTCAGCAGCTGGGCCA